CAAACCTTTGTTGTGAGGAACTATAACACTTCTCCATAGACTCAACCTCCTTAGTCCTTAAGGGATTAAGTTTTGTAACTGAATAGAAATTATGGAGGTTAAATAATTAATTTTTCCTTTATTTAAAGATATGATTTGGAAATCGGCTAATGAATCCCATGTGGTGATGGCGCTTATATTCTAATTTTGTCAAAGAGTATTATAATTCAAGACTGGCGGCGCATGAATATTCTTTTTTTTTAAGTTTAATTTAATTTTACTTGAATTGGTATGACTTTGATATTAATTAAACAAAAAAGAAAGGAAGGAAGAAAGCTGGCGGCGCATGAATATTATTTGTTGTGTAAACATGGAGGGTGTTGCATGGAAATAATTAAACTGTGTGGCGGGTGGGTGTCAAGGGGTGGTTGTGGAACGATGAGGTGTCAGAGTTAATTGCCGGTGGTCTCCGCCGCCTAAATGGGTGGTGTTGGTGGCGCCATATTAATTCCGATCACATGCCTAATTATTCTATGCCTATTTTTTGTTCCCTTTTCATGTTTAATTTGTTCCTAATTTTTTGGGCTGGCAGCCTCAGACCACACCCCCACCCAACTCAGTCGATCACATCCTCCCAATTTAAGAAATATTTTTCCATTCCTAACATATATTCTTTTATTATTAGAGATAATTTTATTCAAGATAAAATTAAGTATTAAATATGAACATTTTTATGAATATAATAGGCTTTGTTTCATCCTTTTTTTTTTTCATACAATCTATAAATTACCGATATTTTAAATGTTCATATCTTACTTCACAAATTCCTTTGTGCTTAACATTTCGATATGTATCTATAAAATATCAAATATTATTTTTAATTAAAAAGTATTTTAATTTCTGACATGTATCTAACATTTTTAAATTGTGAGTCAATAATACTTCAAAACCAAAACTTTTAGACAATTTTTTTAAGAGATTAAGTTTTATTCAAGATTGCTATATTAATCTTTTTATTTTTAACATCATTTCATGATTTTTTTTAAAATTGAAGATTAAAATTGCTTAAAAAATCGGTTCTTGTATTGTTTTTCAAAAATAAATATTTTCTTTATTTGTTGTTATCTTTCTTTATAAGCAAAAAATTTAGAAAAATTGGGTTTCAAGAGTTTACTGAAGTGAGAACATATCTCTAAATTTAAAAAACATTTATAAAAATACTTACATATTACCCACCAACAAAATATATTGACAACAAAATTTAATCACATAACCTTGTAAATTATGAATCAAATCTTTACCAATCTTTTTATGCTTACTTGCTAATATTTTTATTATTTACTTTAAAGTATTTCTATACTTTTTGGTTATAAATTAGTTTTTGGATTTTTATTTTATTTCAATATCTTCTATGATAAAGAAAAAGTAATATTTTGAAATAAATGATTTTATTTAAATATATATTTATAATATGTGTGTGTCTCTACATAATTTAGATGTATCGTATCTTATATCTTTTCATAATAAAAGTATTGATGTATTGGATTTGTGTTGTGTCCAATTCACATATCATGTTTGTGCATCATATAGGATACAATGATACTAATTTTATATTTAAATTAAAAAAATACCAAATCTATTTGTGTTTTACTAGATATATTTTCTTGAACAGATTACAATTAAGTTCTAAATAAGGAGATTAGTTATTTTTTCAACTTATTTACAAGTCAATTTTTTTACTATTTACAACAAGTTGGGACTTGTAAGTAATTAATTTTTTATATGAAACTTATATATAAATAGGCTTTGGTACCCGTGCATTGCACTGGCAGTTTCATGGACAAGCATTTATAACAACATGTAGTTGTATTTATTTTTTTAAATGTTGTAAACATCTATCCAATCATATTACGTAAGGGTGTTCATAGATTTGGTTTGGTTTGGTTTTAAACAAAAACCAAATCGAACTGAACCAAATCAATCGGCTTACTTATTAATGGGACCTTATTGGTTTTTGTTGAAATTGATTTGGTTCGATTTTATATTCGGTTTGGTTAATGTCTGGATCAAATTTTAATAAATTTATTTATTTTTTATCCATATTCATAAATATAACGTTGGTGAGGTGTATATTAAATTAAGCCTAATTTTTTTGACTCCTTTTTTTACATAGAGGTATAAAAATATAATAAAATTTTAATATGCTAACAAGAATTAATCATAAAAATTGATATTAGTAATAGTATTTAGGATTAAAATTATTTAATGTTATGAATTTTATTCAAGGTCATTTAAAAATATTTATCTACATATCTATATTTTAACATGTAATATATAATGAAAAATAACTATAAAAAAATCTAAACAAAATGTTTCTTGTAAATAAATTGAATGTATGAAACTTTTAACTTGTAACTAATTAAAGGATAATCAGAGCAAGTGTGATAAATATATAATTATATATGATGAGGATTATTAAAAAGCTGTTGACCCCGTTTGAATTTTCTATAATTATTATTAAACTCTCTTAGTTAAAAGCATAATTATCATGCGTATTAGAGAAATGTGCAATTGTGCATGTCTGCTCCATGCTATTGCTTTTTGACTTCCTTTAAGGTGTGCATGTGATAAGCCAATAAATATTCAAACATAGAGAAGCAAAAAGTTGCCAAGTGTTGCTGTCTTAATCTGAAGCAATAAGATGATACTAAGTGTTAGATTCTCATTTCTCAACACATACAACTTATGTAACCCCATGTCTTTAACAATCATTTCTCAATATCATAATATCTATCATAATATCCACTTAAACTATATATCAAATGTCTAGCATCCAAAAAAAAATTGACATATTTAATTATAACTTGTTCTTAAACCAAAAAGAGACATTCATATGCTCGAAACTATCCAAAAAAAAAATCATTCCATCTCAAGCATTAATCAATTGTTATGTGAGGTATAACATCTAAAATGAAGGAAGAAAACAAGTTAATACCCAAATAAAAAGAATAATTTTATGACAAATAAAATAATTGTCACATATATAGTACATTAGTACTTACATATATAAAAAGAGGTTAGAAGATCGTGATAGCTAATTATCATCATCTTCATTCAAAGTGACAACACCAAGATCTATAATAATAAAACAAATTATCAAAGCAATGAATAATCTAATAAATAATTAAACTAAATAAACATCACTTTTAATTTATAAAATATTACCAATTACATATACAAAAAGAGGTTAGAAGATTTTGATAGCCAATTATCATCATCTTCATTCAAAGTGACAACACCAAGATCTATAATAATAAAACAAATTATCAAAGCAATGAATAATCTAATAAATAATTAAACTAAATAAACATCACTTTCAATTGTAAAAATATTATCAATTTCTATTTTCTCAATTTCATCCACCTTATCTTCAACATCACTTGCTAATGAAGTAGATCGAAACTAATTATTTGCACAAATAAGGGCTTCAACCGTCTTGATATCCAATGAACATCTATACTCATTTAATATATGACCCCTAGTGCTGAAAGCAGATTCAGAAACTATAGTGGAGATAGGCATGGCCAATACAACTCTAGCAATTTGTCCAATGATAGGATATTTACATGAATTCACTTTCCACCAATTAAGTATGTCAAATTTGGGATTTGTTTTTTCTCTAGTCTCCATCAAGTAGAGGTCCAACTCTGATTGATTCTCAATATTATCATCTTCATTCATAACTTTATCAAACTTCATTGCAAATGAATCTTTTTCACCATCATCATAGGAAACACCTCTTTTTACTTGGGATTGAGTATTGGTTGAACTTTTTTTAAGGCCATGAAAAGACTTGTATCTATCATACATCTTGAAGAGCAACTCTTTCACCTACCTAGTGAAATATTCAGCCATATCTTCATTACAGAGTTTTTTCAAACTCCACTCCACAAATTTTAACTTGTACCTAAGATCAAGCACTACAGCTAAAAAGATTATCATATTCAAATTATCAACATTCCCCCAATACTTGTCATATTTTTATTTCATCTTCCTTGCCATTAAATTCAATAAAGGATCATCACTTAGACACATATCATTCAAAGTTTTTATTACCAAGCAAAACTCATGAAAATATTGAGAAGATGTAACATACAATGAGCCAGAGTCTTTTTTAGTGACATCAAAAAATATTTTCAAGAACTAGACAAAAACATGTGCATTTTCCTAATCTTTTATGGTTGGGGGTCCTTCCTTATCAATTGCAAAAGTAGTATCCTCTTCTTCTAATCTCTTGAATGCCTTTTGAAATTTCAAGGCACTTTCAAGCATCATGTAAGTGGAATTCCATCTTGTAGGACAATCTAACTTCACAATATCCTTTTCTTGAATTCTTGTTTGCTCTACACAAGACTTGAACTTTTGGAATCGTAATGATGATGCACGAATATATCGAACTGCATTTCTAATTCTTGTTAAAGTTTCACCAATCTCTTTCAACCCATCATTAACAACTAAATTCAAGATGTGTGCACAACATCTAACATGCATGTATTCTTCTTTCATAATGTGCCCATTCCAATCAAGTATCCTATCTTTAACATAAGATATAGCAGTGTCATTACTTGAGGCATTATCAACTATAATTGTAAAAACTCTATCAATTCCCCAACTCAACAAATACTTCTCAATCAATTCACCAATAGTTTCACTCTATGATTAGCAATTTGACAAATGTTCAAAATTCTTTTATGCAATTTCCACTCATCATCAATGAAATGTCTAGTGAGACATAAGTAATTCATATTTTGTAAAGATATCCAGCAATCAGTGGTCAAACAAACACTTTGTTTTGATTTACAAAATACATTCCTCAACTTAGCTTGTTCAGACAAGTAAAGACTCAAGCAATCTCTAGCTACTGTAGTACGTGATGGAAAGGGAAATAGAGGTTATGCAATGCTCATGAAATACTGAAAACCTTCATTCTCAATAAATTTAAAGGCAACTCATCAACAATTATCATTCTAGCAAGAGCTTGCTTACAAGAATTAAGATCAAATGTCATCCCCTTAAAACTAGTTCCACAACCTTCTCCTTCTCCTTTTTTTTTCGGTTGGAAGGAAAGTTTAGGTTGTTTAGGATATGTATCTCTAACACTAAATTTCTTGCATCTTTCTTCTAAATGTGTTGCCATGTTAGAAGTGCCATTTCTTTTTTTATGACAAGCATAATCAAAGCCACACCAGTTACATGTTGTCCTTGAAAATTCAGGATCACAACCCTCCATCAAAGTAAAATGACTCCATACCTAAGATTCAAGTCTAGTTAGTTTTCTTTTACCTGTAACTTTTGAATTTTTTGATCACCTTTGTCTTTCTCTTGATCTTTCTCTTTTTGTTGATTTGAGTCTATAGTTACATGAGCATTGTTAATCAATTCCGGCTTGTTATTCTTAGGTTGCTCATCATCATCATGAACATCCATCAACTCCATATATCTTTCTTGCTGAAAAAAACATAAAAAATTATATCAATCAAATATGATACTAAATGCTTTTTGTAAAAAAAATACCATATAAAACATTTACCTCATTTTCACTCATATTGAAATTTTAGGATATGCACTGTGCAAGTGGCTTCCCAAGAAAGATAAATAGTCTATCCTACATTATATTATGAAAGGAAACCTAATTTAATAAAGTAAATTAAATTAAGTTGTTCTATTAAAAAGACAATATGCTATCCTCTTTACTAAAAGGTTAAAAATTATGTTTACTCTATTGCCTATTGGTATTCACGTGCATATCATTGATATGATATCAAAATAAAACAAGTGGTCCCTCTTGGCCTCTTTGCTCTACCGGTCTACCCCACTTGCTTATATTGTTTTAAAATCAAAGAAACAATCTTTATCAATTGCAGAGCAAGTCAACCTAATTAATCAAACACATCATATAAATTATAAATTTAAGTCAACCTAAACACCAAGATAAGAATGATGGCGAGGCAATCAGGTAACGACAAAGTAGGATTAAGAAACAAGAATATTATACCAAAAGAAGCTCGGAGCAACTGAGATGGGGAAGTAAAACTGCAAAAAGTGATTTAGACTGTGGCTCAAATAGGGGTGTTTAATTTGGCCCCGTCCCGATTAGCCCGGTATCGTCCCGATCATATCGGGACGGGTCTTGCCCTGGCCCGAAAATAATCGGGACGGGACAAGAAAGGGGTTCGAGACGGGACGGGACACGGGATTACTATCGGGACGTCCCGTCCCGTCCCGAATATTATATATATTATTTTTTTATTTTAAATATATTAATTATATTAATATAATTTATACTTATATTAATTATATCAATTATAATTTTAATATTTATAATTCTTATTTAAAACTAAAGTATTTTTATATTGATAATTTTAATGGCATGGAGTAAACATGGCAATATCTTTTTTATAATATATTAATTATATTAATATAATTTATTCTTATATCTATCTATTTAATAACTTTTATTTATAACATACTTCTTGCTTATTTTTAGAAGAGTAATTAGCTTAGTATATCTTCACTAAAGTAAAGAACAATTATTTGATGTTGTATTTGACTTGCCTGTTGTTGTTAATTTTATAGCATAAAGATCACTTGTATTTTTTATTATAATATGTAGTTGTGATTAATATAATTCAATAATTAATTTTAAATTATTGTTATTTATGTACTTGTGTTATTTTGATTTTAAACTTAATAAATTATATAATTTAAAATTTTAATGAACATTATTATCCAAATCTTTTTTTGATATTGTTTCATTTATCGGGACGGCGGGACGTCCCGATCTTGTCCCGATCCCGTCCCGACTCTTAACGGGACGGGACGACTTTTGGGACGGGACGGGACACGGGACCAAAATTCAGTCCTGATCATTTTTTCGGGACGGGACACGGGACGGGGGTGTCCCGGTCCCGTCCCGTCCCGTGAACACCCCTAGGCTCAAAGTTGGAAGTGGAACTGTAGAAGCTGAACTCAAGTGGACTCTGTTTTAGGATGCCGCGAGTGGCTGACGGCTATGGCCTGTGTGAGTGTGCGCGACTTGGAAGTGGAACTACAAAAAGTGAAAACCAAACTTGAGTAGCCGACGATGAACTCTACTTTGCGACGAATTCTTTGGTCTGCAATGTTGTGAGTGACCGGCGGGCAATAGCTGTGGCCTGTGTGCGACGCTGTGAGTGGCTGACAACTGTGGCTTGTGTGTGACTGGGGTACTGGACTTCACGTTTGTGTCCGTCGTCCAAGATTGACTCTGTCTATCTCTCGCTTTGCGTCTACATCTTTTGCTTGGTTCTGAGGTTCTCTGCAGTCTGTGTGTGATGCATATTTTGCAAGCCTCAAGGCTCAAGCAACAGGGAAACCTAAACCTAAAGTGTGAGCCACATGTAAAGGAAGATAGGACGTTGTGACTCTAGCTCGTGATTTGTTGAGGCTAACTCGTGAGTTTGAACTCTAATCCTGATGGCTGATGGTCTCGCACTCTCACTATCTCGGACTCTCGACTTGGTCTGATATGATTTAGTGATTAGTCTCCCAAGTCTCAACCCAACTCCAAGCTCTAAAGTCTAAAGTCTCAAGTCAGGCCAGGCTGAAGCTGAACCAGTGAACCACTCCGTGATCGTGATGAATCTGTGACCGTGAGCCATGACGTGAAGTCGTGAAGCCTAGTCTGAGTCTGATGGCCTCCTGATCTCATTTGGGCTTGGAAAGTGGGCTACTAATTAATAAGTTTATTTATTGGGTAATGGGTTGGGTAAGGCATAAGGGGGTTTGGGTTTATTTGGATTGAGATTAATGTTAAATATTTTATAAATAAATAAATAATATTTTGTTAATTAGGTCTGGTTCAGGTCTGGTTGGGTTTTTAATTCTCAAAATCAAAACCTGAACCAAACGATTCGGTTTCCTTATCATAAAAACCGAAGCAGACTTGATTATTGATCAGTTTTAGTCGGTTCTTTTCGGTTTGAATCGGTCCGTTCGGTTTGAATCGGTTTTGAACACCCTTAATATTAGGTTTCAATGCAAAAGAGATATAGAGGTACTATATGTCAGAATAATCATTCATAAAATTTGGTTAAATAAAATTCATTTTTTATTATATGAAATTTTCGACTAAGTAAATTAATTAAAACTAAATAATACATGAATTAATCACACAACACATCATACTTACTTCTTGGAAATGACAGCATTCGTTGGATAAATTATTTATAAAATAGAGACTGAAGTAAATAAGTGTATTTAATTTCTTGATCCTTTAAGAGTCTTGTATGATTTTGCATTTAATGTGTATTAATGTACTGACTAATGGGTTTAATGGAAAACTTATAAATAAAGTTATACAATTTTATATAGTGTGGAGAATATTGTAACATAATTTGTAGCATATTAAATACAGAAAATCATTGCAATAGTGATGTGGGTTTGGTTTTTTCTTACAGTCACGTGGGAAGATAAAATAAATGTAGACATATTAATTTTTAAAAAATACAAGTCAGTCTTAAAACGGGGTCACCAAATAATTGTTAGGACGGTGCATGTCCTTTTTTTTTGGAAAAAAATATTTTTTGTTTTAGTTTTTGGTATATATGAATATATGTATATTTCCGTAGACATCGTTTGTTACAATGTAGTAGATAATGTAAAATTAATAGACAGGTCGCTTTTTATAAATTAGAATGACAAGAATTGAAAAAAAAAACCTAAAATTTGAAAAACCTCGCAACTTATGGTAATTATTCAGGTGTTCATCCCAGTGACCAGCTTTTCTTTTTCTAAACAGAGAAACTATACAATCAGAAAAATTTACTCAAGATATCACACAATAGTAACCAATTACTTAGATTACGTAGTAAATCAGACAAAAAAAAAAAAAAAAGCCAACCAACCAAGCTCAACTGAAACAAAGGAATATCGTTGAAAGCCATATCCTGTTTTCCACTAGAATCTTCAATATATGGGGTGGTCAAGAATCCTAACATGCACAATGGAAAAAACATTCCCAAATCAATTTTCATATAAAGTGATGTCGTCTGTTTTTTGCTACACACTTTGAAATATAAAGTATTAAAATAAGAAAAAGGACCATCAAATGCACGAACATACAAAACAAATATTTTAAATAAATCTATTAATGATTCCCGATGGAACTCAAAAGACTAGATAATAGGTGAAAACTAACCAAACCCTATAAATAGAGAGTTCTAGTTTTGTTTCAGTTGCAACTAAAACAATTCAACAAAAGGATAAGTAATTGGAGCCACATGACCGATGTCATAGGTCATAAGAATAAGGAATAAACGTAAACAAAAATTACAAACCTCCAGAAAAGGATTGGCAATTCTTTGAACATGAAACTGCAGGCACTCCTTGAACTTCTATTGATTTGAGGAGGCCCAAGAATGAAAAGGTTTTTTAATATTATTCATAAGCTGACCTTGCAGGATGAAGGAATGGATTAAGCAAACAATCATGAAAATTGAATTGAAGTCCGAGTAGGGAAAGCATTTCAGAAACAAAATGGGAGGAAACAAAAATGGAGGCGCTTGAGGTTGGGTTTGTATTTTCTGAAATTAAAAAATTTACTGGATAGGACACATTTGGTTTAGTGATAAAATATCTCTTAAATTTTTAATTACTCATAATTTTTTGTTTAGAGGACATGGAAAACATGATAAAATAAAATGTTTTGCATAACACAACTGATTTCTCTTTTTAAATTTATAAGTCAATTACATACAATTAATTTCATAGTTAAACAAACTAGCCATTACTGAATAAATCAACGGGTGACACAAAGGCTCTACATAAGGGAACCTCAACCAAGTACGTAACAGAAAAAAAATATTTCATTCCAAGCACATTAAAATCAATTAAAAGAACAACAAATAGAAATAAAATAAATTACAGATGAAGGAATTTGTGCATGTTAGGATCGAATGCAGTATAACATTACATGTTTTTCGGCCTTCAGCGCTTTTGCTATTGTTCTGATTTATTCTTCTTAAAAAATTAGTCGTGACTTGTTTTGTTGGCATGGACTTAATTGACCTCTTTAAGAAAATTATAGGCAGATAGATCTGACATAAATTTATTTTATCTAAGAGGATATGATTTAGTCTCGTCATAAGTGCGGTGATTGGTGCTAGAAAACATGTACGCACACAAGTATTCAGCAAAAAGTGTAGTCAATTATAAGAACAGAGTAAATAACACAAAGAAAATAAAGATTAAACCTAAAAGAAGAACAATACATTGAATAGAGGATCAGTTTACTTGAAAGAGAGATCTGGGAGGAATAATTACGTAGAGTTGGGAGATTAAAAACGGATAGCAGGTCATACGGAGCGGCGGAAAACAGAGCCTCATTTATATATGTAGCATAAAGCAGAAGATATTGAAAAATGGGAGTTAATCATTTCTTCCAGAATATTCTAAAATGACCTAGACAGATTTTAGAAATATCTACATACTATGGAAATTTAAGATATACTTCCTCCGGTCCTATTTATAAGTTATTTCTACCAACCTCATCAATACCAATACAATAAAAGTACAAGAAATAAAAGTAAGTAAAATTTCAAACATGCCCCTATATAACATATTTAAAAAGTAATATTTTGTTACTTTTTCTCTCTCATAAAGGGTAATTTTAGAAATACCTCTCAAATATTATCTAAAAAAACGGACCATGACTTATAAATGGGACCAAATGAACCTTCTAAAATAGGACTTATAAATGGGACGAGAGGAAGTAATTATGAAGCTAATATATGTTTCTAGAATATTCTAATTATTAGGCGTTGAGATATTTTTGTTTTATTTTTCATCCAAGGTATATGTCTAGATTTATAAACCAAATAGCAAAAAGAAGACTTAATTTGAGAGAGGCAAGGAGGGAGGGAAAGGGGGTAGAGACAAAGAGAACATGGTGTGTGAAAGAGAAACCTCATATAATCGAACAACATTTGGATGCTTGATTAGCTTCATTGTTGCAATTTCCAGGCTGATCTTTAAAATCACATTCAAAAGCATAATGTTCATGGACTCTGTATACTGAAACAATGAAGCCATGTCAGCATCCTACTCTCACGTGCAAAAGCCTTCAGTTTCCTTTATTCTCTGACAAAATTACATAAAGCAATTAGCCTTTTTTTCTTTGTAGGAAAAAAAAACGCAATTAGCTTCATGTTCAACAAACTTGCCATGAAAGAGTGGCTTTATAAGTGTGGATCAACCTTGACATTACACAGCACTTTCAACGATTTCGTGGCTTAGCAGCTGCAGAACTGGCTGTTGTCATAAAAGATTCACCACAACCACACTGATCTTTAGAGTTTTGATTTATAAAAATGAACTCAGATCTGCCAGAAGAAGCAAAAAGATGATTATTGAGTAGGGCAACAAGGTAAAAAACAAAGTCAACATGCAAAGGAAAATTAGTTGGTGCAGGTTGTAGAATCAAGCACAACATTTAAGCAACAAAAACATCCACGTAACACTTCATAAAACTCTTCCGGGTCCAAATGTTTTTCACTCATGAAATCTGCGTTTGGGAAGCCGCTGGCTACCCTCAAAATCAATCATAAAAAACGATATGGCTAATAGCAATAGTCAGTGCCTTTAGTAGTGATGCAAAAATCTGCCACATGTCACATCCAGTATTGTAAAATCACCAACTATCCTGAAAATTGCATATTATTCCAAGGTCCGGGCGGAAAATCACAAATTACTCACTGCACGAATATTCTGTGGCCACATGGCAAAATGAAATTTGCCAGGATATTGGCACGGCAATACTAATTCACTCACACTACAAAAGCACAATGCAAATTAAAAAGAGAAGCATGAATACAAGTTCCAAGCATAAAGGGGGATGAAATTTGTTCACAATTGTAATGATAATTTGTTTGGCATTCTATGTTCATCTCAGAACAGACACAATTGGAAAAGTACGAATATTCTCAGGTAAACATCCAAGGGGCATTAAAGTCATTAAAAAGGGACAGATCTGACTTCTACCCCACAACACAGTACAACAATTCCACCAACTGACCAACATAAAGCAGGATTAAAGAAAATAGTTACCTTAGTTTGTCATGCAAAATTCATTTTAGTCCTAATAACATGCATGAGAGCCTTTGGATCAATCAATATCTTCACACCCTTATCCTCAACCAACTCATCAAATTTCCACTTTTCATCTGTCAAAACAACAAAAATTGTATAGTAAAAAGTCATAATGCATCCATCTCCAGCTCCCCTCAATTGAAAGGCATTTTATGCATGCAAAAAAGTAAACGCACAGGATGATAAGTTTCCATTATGTCAGATACCTATAAGGCAAGCAAAATTCTTTTTCCTTGTTTGAGAACAAAATCCTGGCAGGTCTATTGGAAAGTTCATCAACAACTTGAAGTACAAATGAAAGTAAAACTTAAAACATAATTTTTGTGCAAAATTAGGATGAGTTGTGTTAAGAAATGCTGCTGCTGCTGTTCGAACAACAAATTAAAGATGAAGCTCCAAGATTCATATGATAAAAAAGTCAGCTATTCATTCTGTATAAATTCTACAAACATTATGTCCCAATGTCGACCGGTAAAGCGGCACGCCGTAAAGACCCAGAAGAAGCATTATAGATTGGATGAGGAATAACCTCAAGTTCTGTCTAACAGCATTCAAATGGGCAAGAGAAGCATAAAATTGCAATAGCATGCATTTGATAAGCTAAAAAATAAATGTTCCTTAAATTGCCTGTTCAAGGCTTAGACTACCGGACGGAGAACAAAACGAACATGGAACGTCAAGGGCATTACGGGTCTTCCACTCTGAATGCAACTGAGACCGACTGAGCCAAACAAATCCTTTCAGAAGGGAAAAAGGAATAGGAAACAGACCAAATACAAATGACCCACAATAGTATAGCCGGAGAACGAAACACTCACTTGGAAGGGGCACACACCAACGATCTCTGGTGCTAAAGATCCACCATACTATCATGAACACTAGACAGATCAAGCGAAGTGAGGGACGCTAGTGGAATGAATGAAATGGGCAGACAATCAAAAAGGGAAAGTTCGATTCCGAGACCGTCGGCCTTGTCCAGAATGCAGACGTCGTCGGGGCAAACCAACTACTGAGGTCCGTAAGGGGTTAGGCGCTTCATGGCAGGGTGTTGATAGGTTCGGTTTGATTTGATTACGGGGCAAAATCAGACCGAACCAAATCAATCAGTTTGAACATAATAAAATTTGATCAGTTTTAATTGTACTCGATTTGGTTTGATTTTTATTTTGATTTGATTTAATTTGGTTAAGATTTAGATCAAGTTTTAATAAATTTATTACTTTTTTCTTTTTTCCTATTGCTGTAATAGTAGGATTTTTTTATTTTGAATTGATTTATACATTATTAGCTGTTTTATTATATGAAAGGTTTTTACTTATCTTGTGCTTTATTTCAATCACAATCATAATATATTTATGGCAATTAGAAAGTTTTTAAACTTTGATTAATTACATATCATATGCATACATGTTCATTTTTTTTTTTTTGCTTGGTCTTAAATGTATCAAAGATAAAAAAAATGTTCATATCATATTAATCTTATTCATCTCTTCATTTCATTAACCTTGAATGTACTATATTTTCATGATCTCATCAATCTTCTTCTGTCATCCAATATATATATATATATATATAATGCAAATTAATTTTATGATTACAAGCAGCAAAAAATTAAAATAATGATGATCAATTAATCATCTTCATAATCATATTAGATATATTATTTGAATCTTCGTAGAAAAAATTCATCACCTAATAGTAAGTAGCAAACATACAAATATCTAAAGACTAAATATTCAAAATTTCAAATATCACATTATTTAATATTAATACTTACACCTATAGTTTCATAAATATATATATTCAAAACACAATATCCAATATCCATCTCTCAATGTCATAATATCCACTTAAATTATATCAACTACCTATTATCTAAAAAAGAACTTATATATTTAATTAGATACATATTATATAAATAAATATTATTTTTAATCAAGCTTGGTTCAGTTTTCATATCTCAAAATCAAAACCAAACCAAATCAATCAGTTTGTGTGTCATAAAAACTAAAACAAACTTGATCAATGGTCGGTTTTTATCGTTTTATTTTAGTTCGGATCAGTTTGATTTGGTCTGTTTGGTTTAAATTGGTTTTGAACATCCGTACTTCACAAGTGTTAGGTGCTTGACCCTAACAGACCAAGAATGAAGAAGACGACAGAAGGACCAGGAAAATTCTAAAAACTGAATAGTGAGGCAAATTGAGAATTAATGGGAACCACGTGAGTGGAAAAAAGAAAAAGATGTTGGTTACCTTGATGAATAAAATAGCATCACAGTGTGAAATTGAAGGGTTAAATTATAAAATTTATTAACATTGCTAGTAAATTATTGATAAATTTTATAATTTATAAATATTAATTATAAATTATTAATATTTTTATTAATAATTTATAATTAATATTAATAAATTAATAAATAAAATTAATAATTTAATAACTGATGTTATTATTTATGATTAAATAACTAATATCAAGTTTTATATAATTATTAACATATCAATTCATGTAACTTACAACCTATATTCAAAAATTAATAAGTGAAATAAGAAAATTAATAACTAGTGATTTTATATAACAAGTGAAGAGTATTATAATTTTTAATCTTTTTACCATCGAAATTCTTTTGACTTTCCTCCTCTAAACTAAACTATAATTTTAAAATTTTTTCGGACTCACCAGTTATTAAATTTCTACTATGGTCCTTAATTAAAATTTTCCCTCCATTATATTGATATTAATATCACCAAGTCTTACAAAATTAATTTCTCATATATGATAAATTCATTTCAAGAGGCTAACATTATCACTATTAATATCATCAACATATCATCAATACAAAATATAAAAGCAGAAGAAAATCATATATCATTCATAAACATAAAGCTCTTTGTTTTTTTTTTTTAAATTCTATACATGTGTCCTTTTATTTTTAAATCTTAATTTGCTAGGGTGTGAAGAATTAGCTCATTTCATTGAACTAAACTTCTGTTGATAACATAGAACTGATAACTTTATATAGATATTCCAGGTATATCCTAATTTAGGTGTTTTTAAGTCTATTGCAAAAGATATATAACAAATGCGTCATAAAATTGCATTAATTGAAGTTCACTTTCATATATTTGGAACACCTTTAATAGGCTAGTATGTGCATGCGTTTGTTTCTTTACTCACTCATACTTTTATTTTTTATTTAATTTTTTTACATATTTAAATTTTCGAATATCTAAACTTATAAAGCTTATCCTCCTTGTTTTTGTCCCTCTTTATAACTTAATTTTCTTAACTGACCATCAAAGCGATTCAGATATTTACATTTATATGATCCGTTCCTCTCCAAACGTTCACTTCTTTAGATTTTACTTGCTTCTGTTTTTTTTTTTGGACAATAGCCTTATATACTTAATATACTTCTATGCAATTAAATCATAACATGTGGATCTTAATATATTAGTTTAATAAATAATAAGAATTTATTATAGGATAAATGACTTATAAAAAGATCAACATGTCATTATTTAATTGGATACAAACATTTTAAGTATATAATGTTAAGTATATAAGTTTTCTTCTTTTTTTCCCTTCATCCAAAATATATAACCACTTGATGATGAGATAGAATCCCAAATTGTCTAGATATGGGACCTTAAAAGATGTAAAATGCAAGACCGAGTGTTAAATATCTTATTGGTAAAAGTGCATCTTTAATCTTTTAATTTTATATAAGGTTCTATTTTGGCCTTTTAATCTTATAAAATATTTTTTCAGTTCTCTAATACTAAAACCATTAATTTTATTAATAAAAAAAATCAACATTCAACTTTGATAAATGCTATTAAGTTGAATTTTTTAAAAATAATAATAGGTAGCACAAAAAGTCCTTACATTAGATTAATGATATTAGAATTAAAAGAGTGAAAAATATTTTATAAAATTAAGAAATCAAATCTAACTAACTGAAACCTTAATATACAGTTAGATGACAAAAGTACAATTTCGCCTATCTTATTTCAGAACTTGTAAATTTCTAAGCCTCTGAATACAGCCATGCGTGTGAAATTTATTTAAAAAAAAAACACAAGAAACTTGATTGGCGTGCATGAAACATAAATTTATTTTCTAAATAAAATACAATTAAAGATTTTTTTTTGCAATATATATAATTAAAAAGATTTAATTACATTACCAAAAAAAAGTATTTGGCATAGCTCTTATTAGGAGCTGCTCTGTAAAATTGGTAAGAAACCCCCTTGGACTTCAACGATGAAGTTCCCTATTCAAATTATTTAAATAGGAGCAGTTTATAATGAAGATATAATAATATTGAAATGGAACATGAACCATCCATAACTCTGGAACATGTAGAAGAAGGCTGTATGTTATTTAATCAAACAATTATGGGCAAAAATAAAACAACTAAGCTCATCCATCATCACTCATGATATTCCTTTAATACAATTATCTAGCTTTTCAAGCACTCAGAAGTCAGAAGCCTTCATTTTTTTTTTCCTGAACTTGTAAATGGTTTCCTGGTCCCTATATGGAGTACACTCTGCAACTTCATTATAATCTAATGAAGAAGAAAAAGAATTAAATGTCATACAACAATTCCTGAAACACTTTCATATGGTCAGCCTGGAGAGAAATGGCCAAAGACAAACTACCATCGTCTGATGAGCTTGGTATTATAAAAGACAGTCCCTCGCACGCAATCATACCAGGTCCCATGAAGATAGGCCTTCCCCACCCAAAATCAGCATCATGTATTGGCAATCTAACCCAACTTGTGATACCAAGATTCGGACATTTATACGTATGAGCACCCCGAATAAGCTCTTTCAGATTAGGTTGAAGCTTTAAGTAGTCCAAAGACGATCTCAAATACTCATCGTCCATTCTCACCAAGGAATTATGAATTTTGCTTCCGGCATACCAAGTTGGCTTTGACATGAGTTCACCTGCAAAAGCCATTGGTGTGGCTGCGAATATCACATTTCCAAAGTAACCTTCTGGGAGGGCTGGCTTAAATCTAGACCTTCCATCAGTAGCAATGTACAGTTTGGTTTCTTGATCGTGGGGTAAGGCACGTGCCTTGCACACAGATTTCCACACATGGCCAGCCAAAATCTCATAAGAGCTATAGTTCATTGTGTTGCCATTTTCTTTACACTTAGATTTCAGAAGATTCAGTTGGTCACGAGTCATTTTGAACATGGATATAGCTGGTGCTGATGGTGGCGGCTGCGGCAAGGAGTAGGGAGTAATCATTGCCGGAGGCGGTTTGTATTCGATGTGATCGAAAACCGGCCGAGGAGGGTCACGAGCTCGGAGGAGGGTCCGGTCGAAGAAGGGAGGGATGGTGAGATGATGAAGGGCACGAGCAATCTCAGACCATGTGTTGATGAAGTGAAGACCGGAATATCCATCCGCTACTTGATGTTGATTACCAACTCCAAGTGACACCCCTCCACATTTGAAATGCGTCACCTGAACAAATTTTGTCAGTTTTTAGTTTGCAATTAATACAAATTTAAATATGGATTTAGAGCTTTGATCCCATATTGCTTTTTATTCCCAAAGGTTGTGTTTGGTTTAGGGCATTTGCATTGCAGTCTACTATACGGTTGATTTTATTTTTGTATGAACAGTAAATATTATTTTACTTTATTATGAGATAATATCTTCTAGAAGATGAGTTCACCAGCATTGAAAAAAAATAAAGCATAATTCAATAGTAGCTATTGTAGGTGGCATGTGCGTGGGGCTTAACACAAGTAAATAAGGCTCTGATCAAGTTTTTTAGTGTTAATTTATCTTTGAAGTCTTTTTTAAAGAGCTCTAGATGCCTTAAAGTCATGTTAAAATAAAATATAATACATATTATAATGTTATAACACCTGAAGTCTATGAGAATATTTTTATATATAATATTTATTAAATATTATAATATTTATTAAATATTATAATATTTATTAAAATAAAATATCATAACTCTTTGCGGGGCTCCGAGAATTCTTTTTTTAC